ATGTACTATCTTTAGTCTAGAGGCAGTATACCACCAATCGTGGTCCGCATTTGCAAAATATTAGTGCGTTTTGAAACCTATAAAAAAGAAAGTGTCGCAACCTTTTAGTGAGCGAGTGTACATACATGAGCATAATAAAAATAAAACACAATATTAATTTTGTTCTTAGAAAGATAATAATTGAAAACAGTTTTGATTTTTTTAGAAATAATTTTGATTCTTCTTTTCTGCAGCGACACAGTGTGTACGAGTAGCACAGCATTATGGTTTCTGTGCCATCGTAAGCAGAGAATTGGTGCGCAATGAAGTGACCACCGGCTCACAAAGAGGCGTTATCCTGGCGTATTTGATGTCCGAGGGTAAATTAGTTCCCTCGGATGTCATGGTGGAGCTTATCAAAGCAAGGATGCTGAGCAGCCTAGATACCTCGCGCGGTTTCCTACTGAGCGGGTTTCCGAGGGAGAAGATACAGTGTCAACATTTCAACAGACAAATCCGACCGCCAGACCTTGTCTTGTATTTATATGTCAGAAACTCACTGCTGATGGAAAGAGTTCTAGCCAGAACCATTACCGCTACTGAGAGGCAAAGTCGCAGTATTGACGAAAATTGGCAGCGAATTAAAGAGCACAGTCGAATGATCAAACCTATCCTTAGGAATTACAAGAAACAACTAGTAGTTATCAATGGCGAGAGAGATGAACCGGAAGTTTTCGGAGACATTTGCAGTGAGATTGATAACATCTTGATAAACTTTCCAAGTACATCTGGTAAAAGCAACTAATTAGAATTTGTTATTTATATGATAATTGCGCTGAATTAATATAGGTACATAAAACATTGATTATCATGCAAAGTTATAAGTTGATTGATGGAGTTTTACATGGCATTATGAAAATAAACTGTGCTTTATATTATGCTAAGTATTTAAATAATCTCTCTGCTATATAATAAAATAATTATTGTATGTAAGCACAGAAATTATAATTAATGTTGTAATAAATATTACAATAACAAACATAGAATATAAAAGGCAAAAATAATGTTTTCTTAATTTACTTTTTTTATGTCAGTTATTAATTTTATAATAACATAATATTTTATTTCTAGAAATCATTTTTAAGGGAATATTGAAATGACAGTAAAACTCTTTTGACGTCACCTATTTTGCCAATTAAAAGCGATTTACACATGCTATTGCATTAGACTGCATATACTATTGCATCAATATCATATATACACAACAAACAAATTTTTATATAAACTTTTTATACCGAATTAGGTGGTTAATTCTAAAAACTCAGCGTTGTTTTTTCATGTAATCTACATGCCCCATCTAGGAGACTCCAATTTCATAAATACAATTGCAGAGCTTTTATATCAAACAAATGTTATCACAACTTAATAGCTCTGGGCGTTATATATAAAAAATAGTAAATAAGATTTGTATTTGTAATAGATGCAGCAGTCTTCAATTCGTCGGGTATAAGAATGCGTTAAAAATGGGAGATCATATCGAATATCTTTTTGCAGTTGTGTGTGTGTGTGCGTGTGCGTGTGTGTGTGTGTGTGTGTGAGATGAGTTACAAGTAACAGATTATCTAAATCTCTCTGTTAGGTTTAAAAATAATAAAAATATCTAAGCACAAAGAGTTACACATCTAATAAAAAAACTTTTTATTTTAATTTATAATTATAAAGCGCTTTTCTTTGAAAATTCCTTATACTTTATTAGATTTTATAAGTTTACTTTGAAAATTATAAGATGAGAAATCTTAGAATATTTCAAAATTCATATATAAATAATTTTAGAAAACATAGATTTCTCTTTAGCACGTTTGTAAAATGTCCAACATACATAAAAAAATTATATAAAAAAATTTTCTAGAAAATTATAAAATTATATAGAAGTTCTAAATAATTACCCGATAAATTCTATGAAAAATTTCACCAGAAACTGTTCAAAAAGTATAAAACATTATGATTATAGGTTACTTTCTTATATTTTGAGATCATCAGTATTTTTTAATGATATCAGATATTTTTAATTTGACACCATCAAAACCGGCGAGTCAAATTTATAACATCATGACCTAATATCATTAGACTTGGAAATTTAAGATTAATAAGGATGTTTTAATAAATAGATAATGCATGTTATTTAAATTTACTTTTGTTTTATGAAAGAAGATTCATCGGTAAATAATAATTTATTGAAAAATGTTCTATCATTAATGTAATTCTATCATAATTTGTCTTAATCTTTTTACTGACAACAATTTATGCAGTTTTGAAAATTTCTTTTGTAAAGTTTTTAATTCGGTGATATGTAATAAGAACAACGTTTATATTCAAGTAGTATTTGAGTGGCACTTGATTTGTTGATATTATTTTTTCGAATGATTCCTATGGTATTGTTATGTGAATTTTCATTGATCACAGCAAGAATATTAATTAAATTTTAATTAAAAATGTCCCAATATAAAGTTATTTAAAGATCATAATATCATAAGTCATTGAATTTGCTTTGACAAATTTAATTTAATTTTTGTTCTTTAATTCTTTAACAGGATCGGGCACAATTCTATTAAATTAGATATACATATATCTGCCATTTTAAAAAATTACTAAATGGTCTTAATGGTCTTAAAATGACTTTGAAAATAACTTTAAAAGAGAAGCAATTTATATCGTCACATTGTATTTGACTTTTGAAAAGTGCAATTTGTCTCTTAGATATTTTCTTCTATCTTCAAATTCAAATCTAATAGAGATGTTGAGTGTTTTCTTTATATATATATATATACATATATATATATATATATATATATATATATGCTCTAATCGTATTGAGAAGAAATAAAAACTCGAGTCAATTTGTATCATAGTCCATTTAAAAGCTGAGAGATAAAATTGTTGTATGATTAATCTCCCGAAAACTTAAATTCATGAGATGCTTCTAATTTTCGATAGCAGACATCTCTGTATCTTTTAACTTCCTTCAAAAAAATTGTCACCAACGATTAGTATCTTTGTCTGATACGAAAATTTGTGTAACATCGACAACGACGGTACGAATCTGCGATCGTCGATTGCCGCTTTGTGCATGCGCGTCGCGTATCCACGCAAACGGATGTCGAGTGTGAACGGGATGCGTGTTCGAAATTTGAGGATATAAATCGAGACGCGCGGCGAGGATTTTTTTTTTTTTCTTTTGTACTCGGCTCGATCCCGATCCTGCCGGGCGCGTTCAAGCGAGCGTGCTCGCGTCTCCTCGTCCCATACCGCGTAAGTATATTCGCATGCGTATTGGTAGCCCGTCTGACCTCTGACCCTGAGCCTCCTCGGTACAAGGCGCAGGTCGTTAAAGTGGCACCAGACTTCCTTTGAAACGGTGTAGTGTCGTTGGCCCGCCGGTGACAGAAGGTCGCAGGTGACGAAGACCGTGAAACCAGAACCGGTTGTTTCGATGGAAAGGAAGCTGTCCGCTGTCCTCCCCTCTTCCCTCCCTCCGTATACCGATTGCCTTTCTAAGATTTCCATCATCCCCCTTCATTATGGGCACGTCGCTGCTTGCTTGCGAATTATGCGCTCGGCTTTGCGATTACGATCTCGAATTACGTAATGTTATTAGGCCGCTTGAAAAGCGCGACGTCATCGCGATAGCTCGACCCGCGTCCTCGAGACGTAGATGAATAAACTGTTAGCTAATGAGTTAATAATATCTTGGAACGATAATAGAGAGAGAGAGTGTGACGGAGCGAGGGGAGGGGGGGCAATGTTGATTTTTATCACGAAGATGAAAGGTGAGGAGTGCGTTGTATATTTAATATTGCTCCTTCCTTGTGTTTTCAAGTCTATACCCTTAATTATCTTCTTTATTATTATAGATTGTATAATACTATATAGATAATGTGTATATACACCCATAAATTAACGCAGGATGTGTTTGTATTCTAAAGTTTGTATTCTAAACAGAAATAATCATTGCAGGAAATTGTATTCAACCTTAACAATCTCAACGCAACGCAGAGCATTTTCTATTTATCAAAGTTAACTGAACATCGTGCGCCTAATTCCTCTGGACCGCGCGCCTTTGACCGGTCCCGCGAGAATGAGCGAATGTTCACACCTGACCCAGTCCGGCGGCGCCGTCGAGAGGCCCGTTTCCACGTAAAATCGTCGTATGACCTTCGACGCCGGAGAATCGAAATCGGGCGCGCCCACTTTCGGCGATTCTCTCTCTCACCTTCGCGCGCGAGAGAGAGAGAAAACCGTTCCGAGAATCCGGCTGCCCCGCGCGCATCCGGCGGACACGCGTTACTGCGACGCATCGCGCCTCTCTCGGAGTTCAAGGTCCCCCGCCGTGGACGACCTACGACGACGACGACGACGACGACGACGACGACGAGGGACGAGACACTTCGTCGTGGGGTATTTGTCACGCGATCGAAGAGCCCGTGTTTCTCGTCGTCGTCGCGGTGGCGGTGGTCGATGAAGGGTGGCGCGCGCGCTCGACCGGGGAGCGTATAGAGGAGCCGGTTGTAACTCCTCGGTTGGCGGCACGGAATCGCACGCGTGTGAATGACCGACGTGTGACCGCCGCCGCTCGACGAGTCTAGACCGAAGGTTCGGGATTGCGGTAGGTCTGGAACACAGAGTGGAACGTAATGCAACACCATGGCGTGGCGCGACGCGACGCGACGCGGCGCGGCGTGGCGTGGCGTGGCGTGGCGTGGCTTGGCGTGGCCGTGGCGTGGAATGGCGTGGCGGCGCGAAAAGAGAGAACGACGATCGCGCACGGCCAGACAAAGCCGACCGAGTTGTACCTTCTTATTGGCCGCACGCCGGCCATTTTAATGGCTTGACCTCTCTTTCTCTCTCACACACACACTCTCTCTCTCTCTCTCTCTCGCTCTCGCCTTCTTCCGAGCTATTTATACCTTAATTGAATTTCCGTTGAAAACGACGGGCCGACGTTAACCGTCCACGAAACGAAGGAACGTTTGTCGGGGCGGCCGGCTCTCCGTCGAAACTGCCGCCGCCGATCGTTTCGACTCCTCGATTTCCGTGCTCTCGAGTATCGTCTTCCTTCCGACCGATCGACCGGGTCGATAGGGATACGTTTGTCTTCTCTCTCTCTCTCTCTCTCTCTGGGTCTTTCCACTAACTCGCGCTCGCGGCGGTCTTTTTGGCGAAACGCGTTCGGTCTATAACTTTATAGAATTTGTCTTGAAGATTGGGTTCTCTGTTTTCTAATTGGAAAACAGTCAGCTCTATAGATTTATTGACAGAATAACGACGCATGAAATTCTAAGAAATCTTTAGAATGTTTTCAAAAAATTTCTTGTCAATGTGAGCAACAACTTATGAATAAAGTTTAATCTTTAAAAGATCAGAAATATATCAAATATTGAAAATTACAAAGAAAATCTTGATCTTTAATTCTTTTGCGAATGTATGTATTATATTGTAATTTAGAGTTAAAATACTTTTAAGTAATAAAAATACTACACAGCCTCATGCGCTATCAGGTCAACCATAAATCTTTTCCAAAGTATAATTTAATAAGGTACTAGCAGTAAAAGTTGGTGTATGCGTGTAAGTGGCAAAAGATGAATGTTTGCCCAGACTTTTATTCGGCAATGTCTAACACGCAGAGAACATCTTCCTGATTCGAAACCGACCGTTATCCGCGCATCCACCCCTGCCAGGTCGCAAAGAAGCCGTCGCTTTCCGAGCGGGAGGCGGATAGTCCGGTCGCCTCGAAACATATTCGTTTTGACGAGACGAGGCGAGAACGAGCGCGCGTCGCTCGGGAGGCCCACGGCGTGGGACGACGTAGTACTACGGCGCCGCGGGTGGGAGTCCTTTGTTCGAGAATGGACGCCATGAGAACCACGTGTCTGGTTTCCCG